CCCATGGTTTCAGTGGGACCAAGCAGGGAATGGATCTGCCATCCGCCACCCAACAGAACCAACCTGGGTGGTGACCGCAGGGTCCTACAGTGAGCCGAGTCTCTAGCCGGCAGCAATGACACTTAACAGCAATAAGGTGGTGCAAGGCAAGCTACTCAGTAAGGCCCAGTGGGAAGCTGAGCTTCCGCCCCCACGAACAAACTGCACAAGGTGGAGCAAAGCAGAGCTTCCCTCCTTCTGCCACTAGTATCAGTCAGGCCCAGTGGGGAGTTGAGTATCCACCTAACACCTGGTGGAACAGGTGGCAGGAGGCGGGAACAGTTGACACTCTGCTTCCTTCCCTCCTCTCTTCTGGTGTCGGTGGAACCCAGTGAGGAGATGAGCGTCACCCTCACCCTACAGCAACAAAGCAGTGGGAGTCAGCCTCTACTTCCCCAACCTGATGGCAGCAGAGCCCAGCAGGGAGCTGATCTTACGCCCCAGTTGGAGGCAGTGAGGGAGTGCCAGCTGGTGTCCACTTTCACTGCGGCCCAGCAAGAAACTGAACATACATGACCTTGTGCCGAACCTCGGCAAGCAGTGCGTGCCCCAAATGAAGATTAAATAATATCTAAAATATGTACAATGCAATACACAGTCATTCATTGCAGAATAATCACCATGTGGATGAGAAAAGACAATCTTCAGATGCCAGCGCTAATCTGAGTCAGATGTTAGAATTATCTGACAAGGGTTTTACAGCAACCATCACAAAAAAATGTTTCCATAAACAATTACAAATTCTGAAACAAATGAAAAAGTAGAAAATCTCGTAGTTACAAAAAGAACCAAACAGAAATCATAGAACTGAAAAATGCAAAAACTGAAATATAAAGCTTGCTGAGTGGCACAGTAGTAGGGTGGAGATAACAGGGGACAGAATTAGCCAACTTAGGACATATCAATAGAGTATCCTGAACTTCAGAGAGAACATAGACAGGAAAAATGGGCACAGCCTCAGAGACCTGTGGGGCCTTAACAAGGGAGCTAAATTTCATATCATCAGATCCCCGAAAGGAGAGGAAACACAGAGCGAGACTGAAAATGAATGTGAATAAACAAGGACTGAAAACTTACCAAATTAGCAAAAAACATAAACCTACATATTCAAGAAGCTAAGTGAACCCAAATGGGATAACCAAAGAAATCCATGCCAAAAATAGTATAATTAAACCTGTGAATATTAAAGACAAAGAAAGCATCCAGAGAAGAAGACACGTTTTATGTGAGAACATCAATTCGAATTACGGCGAGTTTCCCGTGTGAAACCATGAAGGCCAGAAGTACTGAAAGAAAAAAACTGTCAACTGTGGGTTCTGTATTCAGCAGAAATATCCTTCAAGAATGGAAGGGAAATAAAGACATTTTCAGATGAAGGAAAACTAAGAATTTGTTACTAACAAACCTACCCATAAAGAATGGCTGAAGAAAGTTCTCTAAACAAAAAGGAGATGATAACAAGACTTGGAATATCAGAAAGGAAAGGAGTAAAACAGCAACTCTAAGTACTATTAAAATAAAGAGAAAGGAAAGAAAAACATCAGAATGGGTAAAACTAGGTCTAAATATAGTTTACTATCCTACTTTTCATGCATTTCTTAAAACATATTTGATGGTAGAAC